ACACACACACACACACACCTTACATTTTGTGAAAAGAAATTACACTAACAGGGGGATTCTTTTTTTCTCTTCTTTTCAACCCCACAGAAACTAATGGGACCCCTGTTTACTGGCACACATGCGTCAGCTGTTTACCGAGTCCTTTTTTACTCCAGCTCCGTTACCCTGGGGCTCTCCTAACGGGCAACAGAAGAATAAAGGGCCCCTGTGAATCACCTATCTCTGGGTACTGAAGAGGGGTATCAGACCGGTGTCTCTGCACGGAGCAGAGCCCCGGGGCCGATGATCACCCCCCTTCCTCCCCTTCTCCCCTTCTCCTCACCCCTTCTAGCTCCATGCAGCCGCTTGGCGCAATTACTTCCACATGTTGCCGAAAAGAACAGTGTCCTTGTTCTCCAAACAAAGGATCTCAACTTCGGAGGGCCAAACTCACCTCAAACCGGGTTGAGGTTCTCACTTCTGAGGGATTTTCAACACTTTTAGCTTTTAAAAAAACAACTTGAATTTACATATCAAATTACAGGTAAATTAATTTCAAGAGGAGATTTTAGTGCCAACATTTGCTGAAAAAGTATATAATTTATGTTTTTAATACATTTTATATGAAAAAAGGCAAACATCTAAAACACTAAAACTTAAAAAAGAACTGCCCCAGACCCTTTGAACATAACAAGTCACATTCCCCTGTCAGCACTTCTCTTCCTTTCTCCAAATGATTGAGGCTAAATATCACTGAAATGTTCGCTGAGTCATGTGTTCTCGTCCTCGTAAGATGATGAGGTACTTTTTTTTTTACATTGTTCCAAAAGACTATGCCATCACATGTAAGTGCTGTATGGTGGTTGGGCTCTTTTTAATATAAAGATGAAGCTGTCTAGAGGTGGAGCTTCCACAGTCAGGATGTTCACATCGTCGCTTAAACACTGCTCTTTACCAACGTTACTCATCTTCTTCATGGTGACCCCGTCCTGCCTCCAACTGTCCACCAGGGGGCTTTTGGGAGAAAAAGAACCTGTATCAAAATAAGTGACTTTTGTTATAGTATAACATACGTTCAAATGGGACTTATCAAATAGCAGTTATGCTAAAATCACTTTAAAAAATAACAAATTGAGCATTTATGGCATTTCATTTCCACGCATGGTTCGTCCTTCCTATAATAATTGGGCCCTATATCCTACAGTAACTACACCCTGACATGCCTGACGTTTAAAGTCGTAATATGTAAGCTGCTCCTTAAACTTCTAAATGATATAAACATTTGGAGTTGCACTTTGTTGTTGTCTAGAATATATCTTGATACATTATTTTCTCATGTCTTTCTCAAACTTGCGAGTCCATGATTAAGAGTACATATAGGCCCGAGTACACGTCCACATACAACACAGCTCGTCCTGCAGTCATATACATGTGATGAAGTGTTTGAAGATGACTCCACAGACTGTCGGTGGCCTTGGGGCGGCGGTCCCTGTGGGAGCTGTCCAGCGTGCTGAAACGTGTCTGTACCACTCAGCGTTCATCTCTCAGCCAGTACTGACTCTATCTATCTATCTATCTAGCTATACTTTGGATTTCCCTAGTGGATTGGAGAGAAACTCAAAGGCCTTGTGGAGAGTTCCAACCAGCCATTAACCAAGTATAGGTGAGTTTTTAGAAACCAACCTTCCCCCAATTATTTACAAAATACCAAATCTAGTAGCCTAAATATTACATCATTTCCACTGTAGCTTGGTCCCCAGCAGCAAAATATGTGACTTGATAATAATAAACCATCACCGTCGTCTAAAAGTCACAGACATTGTAGTTAATTCTGCAGCACTGACGATTCCCACAGTTAAGATGAAACATCTTCGTTCTCCTGCTCCCTCTGATGTGTCGGAGCTTTAGGTGGGACGTATATTGGCCACGTTTATGGAGGATAACATATTGAACTGCTGATTCATTAGTAAAGTGGAGCTCTCGGGAAAAGACAACGCTATTCCCCTCTTGTCCACACCGGCACTTCAGCTTCTTCTTGCCTCTATCTCTCCGCATGAGACAGCAGCTGCAACCGGCTGAAAAGCGCTCTTATTAATTGTCTTTTGTCATGCGTAATTGCCACATTTTCAATGGTGACCGAGGCCTGACGTCTTTGGAGTGCTCTCGTTTGTCTGCATTAGTAGGTATAGCCCCTTTCATCTGAAATTTACATTCCGCACACTCTGCATTATTTTATACATTTTGTTTGATAAAGCAGTATGATCAGAATTTGAGACCTGGACAAATGGATCAACTCTCAGAGCTGAAAGAGTGAGGGTCTTTCTCAAAACTGCAGTTTATTCTATTGTTCATCGCTTTAAAATGCTGCATTGATCTTTCACACCTGCAAGGAGAACTCTAATTCGATTAATAGGAACTTCAGTATATATTCATTAGGTGGCTTTCCCCCAATAATATATGATCAGCAGCGGGATGTGAAAGGGGCACTATTTATTCCCACTCTGAATGGGTCTGCGTGGGACCAAAACTTCACCTGCTTCCCCTCTCAATTAGGAATGTATCCCAAACTCTGACAGAAACGAGTTAAATTAGGCGTCAGCTAATTTCCAGTGGCCCCTCCCACGTAATCCCCCCTCAGAGTCTTTCCATTTGAGCGTGCCCCCTTTAATTCACTATAAGTTGAAAGGTTCAAATAGTGCCTAATGAAACAGTGACTAAATCGTTCTCTGTCGCTCGGAGGAACCCTGTAGCTGTCTCTCAAAGCTCTCTGAGCACACAGCCGTCGGGGGTCTCCGGCTAAATGCGAGTCCCAAGGCAGGACAATCTAACCTGTCAAAGCCTTTGCCCACTTCTATATATCCTTGTTCTGTGGTTTCAAGCAATAGCAGCATAATCAACCAACGTGGGACCGAAAACGCAATTAAACTCGCTTTGGACAACCAAAATCTTTTCAAAAGCGAACATTAATGGACTATTGGCTGCTCCCCAGGGGCGTTATCGGGTACCCTTTTGTGGTCAGATCTAAGGAGAAATTACAGCTACACTTTCATATAGCATACTCCATCCTTTTAGAATTAAATTGCTTATAACATTTAAATGGACCTCTGCTATATAATGTTTATTAATAAAAAAAAAAACCTGGCTCTACCAGTCGAATAAACCAATAGCTGGCAATGACAGCTTAATAATAACAGCTGTCAACTGATAGAAAAGAGTTGGAAAGGTTGTGTTGTAAAACCTGTAGTGGAAGACAACTGTCTCAGTCGATGTGCACACGGAGTGGCCCGAAGAACAGAAACCCATGCAATCCAATACAAAACAGTGAAATAATCATTTTGTTGAGACTCAGACGAACTGATCCAATTGTTTTGTAACTTTTTAAGATCTAGTTAGTGTTTTGCTGGATTGCATTATATTAAAAGGTGTTTCAAGTATTTTGTCCACTGGTGTACATCTATGTAAATAAGTTCTATTTAGCATTACATTACACAGGAGATACTATTGATATATATTACTGTTATATAGTAGGAGATTTTTTTTACTGTTATATCACAACTATATGCCAGTGCCACCTGGCAATCAATATGTGATGACAAATTGCTAATAATCATAATGATATAGTCTATTTATATTCATTTTCAAATGCAAAATTTATTTCTGTGGCCAGTTTTAGTATAGTATCTCAACTTGCATTGATGCAAAAATAAATATATTGTATATATTATTTATTTATACTTTTTTCAAATACTTATTTGTAATAAAAATATTACCAGTGTTAAGTCCTTCATTTTTGTGAGTGAACATATCATTGATCATAGTAAGACAACACATTGACAATTTCTTAGGTCAACTCATGTTTATTACAATAAATACAGATATACATAGTTTACAAATTGTTGCGTACAGGTTCCACACAGGTTAGGCCTATACTATTTCTAAGGGCTTTCATTGCCACACAACCTCACTGACAGTAATGGGATATCAGGCAATAATGAAAACATTTACTGGGGATAATTAACTAGACCTGGGTATAGGTGAGAACCCTGAAGGGATCAAAATACATCAATACAGTAGGTCAAGTTTCCCAATATATCACAACGGCGTTAAAACATGTATCCACATATTTCATTTTAAAAGTACACACTTCATGCGGGAGATTTTTGGCCCAGAGGTTGCTGTGATGCCCTAACCCAGAACTGTAACAGTAAGTGCCAGCAGTGTGAACTGGGAAGTCGCGACGCTCTCAGATGGGTGACACTTCTTTCTCCTCCTCAGCAGAGGCCGGAGATAGAGACTCCTCGTCCTCTGACCTTGAATAGTCTGTGTGACCGGTTGTGCACTTGCAACCGCTGTGCGCGGTCCTTTGGGTGGCTTTCCCCTCCTTCTTATGCTTCACCCTGCGGTTCTGAAACCAGATTTTCACCTGTTTCTCTGACAGGTTCAAATATGTGGCGATTTCGATTCTTCTGAGTCTCGAAAGATACATGTTCGTGGAAAACTCCCTTTCAAGTTCCAGGAGTTGCGTGCTTGTAAAAGCCGTGCGCATCCTCTTGCCATTCTGTATGTGGCTGTTCTCGGAGGCGCCTGTTGGAGAGAAAAATTTTTTTTTAAGTCAGACGTTTAACTTTTAGAAGGCTACAGGTCTAAACTCAGTCAAAGATACAGATGGAACAAAACATCGCGCGTAAATCTTTGTGCGTAAAGTTGACACAGAGTGTTGCCATTAATGTAATTGCCTAAAAGTACATCATGAAGACTCAAACAGGTGCCGAGCAGTGCTCCTAGCTGTCAGTTGAGACTGTAGCAAACAGGTGGCTTACCAATAGAAAGACAGTGGTATCTCCTGGGATCTGTGACGCTGAAGGTGGGCGTGCAGACAGGTGTGTGTCCCGGGTGCGCGAGTGCAGGAGACTGCTGGTGCGCTATTCTCTGACAGTACTGTGCCTCCGCTCCTGGAAACTGACTCTTCAGCATGGGAATGCCGCTGCGGGAAGAGTGGATGTGGGACGTGACGCACAGCGGGCAAACACAGAAAGTCCCATTTTTCCTGGATGGGCACACCGGAGCGGTGACCGTCATTACGCTCGGAGAGTGCATGCTGATGGGAATAAGGAACTCTTGTCCTGGATGCTCGACTGGTCCAGGTCGCACCGTATCCTTGATTATTAAAGAATCAACGTAAAAAGACCTCGACATGGTTGCGCCGCTGATAAGTGATCACTCCGTGCACAAGATGATAGCTGTTTCTCATCTGAACCCCTCGGGATCTCCAAAGGTGCTTATGTTTGATGGTTCAACAAAAGGGACCCCGAAGAGGGTTGGCCCTGCAGCGTCACCCACGTGCGCACCCGTCTCCAAGGGTTTATACTGTCAGCGACCCAAACCACGTGATGTCTCCATGGGCCTCCAATCACAACTTGCAGATTTAGGTTTTTTATCCCCGAATTTAGTAAAAGTCTTTGGCACTAGAATAATGTAACCAGCCACAGTAAAATATTAAGTTATATATATGTATTTATGAACTGCACTGAGTTTCTGCAGTAGACTCAAAATAACTCCGAATCCATCATTTTCAAACAATTTAACAAAATTAGATAAAGATTAAAAATAATATTTCACAAACATACTGCTAAATTATGTATTTATGGTGTGGAACTTGGATTTACAGGGTTTTATAGGAATTGGTCAGATATCAATCTGAAACTGTAAAATGTAATTTGGAAACACCTGTTATTTTAAACTTTTAAACTTAAAAATAGAAACGCATTGAATACATCAGATAAACTAGAAGCAGCTAATAGAAGAACCTGTTGGAGCAGGTGCAGCTGGAAACTGAACCAGAAATAACCTGGAGTCTGTCTGTAGTTTATAATACAGACTACAGTGAATAATCACCGTTTAAGATTCGAACTGACTAAAGCTGATTTGATCATTATTTAATTTTTAGATAAATTAAAATTCCTTTTTTCTTTAAAACGAATGATAATAATTCTGACATGTTTAGGAAGCTATATGGTGTACTTGACCTTTTTAGTCCATAGTCGATTTATTTTTTCACCAAATGCGATTTAAGGAATTGAGCACGCCACTAATTGCTTCGCAGCCTAATCATACTACTTTGAATCCTGTTGGTCCAGGTTTCACTTCCAGCAATTAAAGAATTATGAACCGCTGGCGAGTCTGGGCTGCGGTTATTTGATGGCGATTAGGATTCAATTAGAAAGTGTTTATAATGGCCGGTCTGTGCTGGGGTAAACAGGCAGCTATTTCAGAAATGCGTTAATCCCTCATCTTGTGACAATAATTAGCGAGTTTGATCCCCAGGCGGGTCACCGGTAGGTTTAGCTTCTGCTTTCATCTGCCAAGTAACGCCTCGGACCTTCAGACAGAGGCGAGCCGTCAGTAGGTCCAGGTCCAACAGAACAACATGTGTCAGTTTCTCCACTGACCTCAGAGACACACAAAACAAAAAACAAAAAAAGCAAGTGGAACAGGCCTTTTGGGCATCCCAAGTTTGAATAAGTCACTTTTTTTTGTTTATATTGCAGCTCTTTTTCTTTAAAAATCTACCAACCGCCTCATTATGGAGCAAGTGATTACAGCAAGCAGGCGACTGAAGCGCGCATTGAACTGTGAGGTAAAATGCAGTCTTTGAAAGAATTAGAAAGTCTTTAAAATCCAACCACAATAATAACACAAACCCAACATGTCTGTCACACAGACAGTAATTGCTATAATAAAGTGAATCCAGCGTTTGACAAGGAAGACGCACAGAGTTGTTATGGTACAGATAACAGTCGGAAACAAGAGAGAGAGAGGGATGGAGGGAGGGAGAGAGGGAGAGGGGCAGAGAGAGAGCAAACCAAGCGGAATGATGCGTGGCGCGCGCCCTCATCACACCATGCGAGCTCTAATATTATTTTTCCATAATTCTGCACGATAAAATTTCATTGTCTATTAAGTAATCCCACAAATGAGATCCTTTATGAGGCTATAATGAGGCCTAATTGCCAGGACTAGTGGAGCCACGTGGAAGGATTTAGGAAGCATTAAGCCGTCTGGTACTGAGCACAGGCTGTTACCTAGCCATTACTTTCATAATTCAAGGAGAAAATTAGTCCATTTAAGGGAAAAATCCTTTGATTCCCTTTATTCTGCTCGGGGTGACAGGGCTGCAGTTTTTTTGTCCGCTTCGGTTAAGAAGCCTTTGCAACAAATGGGCAATATCACTCACTGTTTAAATGTTAGATTAAAAAAAAAAAAAAGAATTTGAGAAATGTGTAAAGCTCTCAGGGCCCCACCTCTCACTTCCCTCTTCTTTCTCTCCAGTGTGTTGGGCCTTTTACTTCATAGTGCAGCAGTTACCCTCCACTATTCACCCCCTTTTCAAATCATGTTGATGGGCAATTAATCACTGGCCTATTCAGTAACATGAAAATTAAATTTAAACAGGGGATTTTAAAGTAAAAAGTTGGTTCTCCTCAGAGGTCGGTTAGTTTTTTCCCCTCAGTGGAAAACAACATTTCTAGTATGAGAGTCTGTGTGCAGTAAGTGCATCAAAGTTGGGGAAAAAGGTGTGTGTGTGTGTGTCCAGCTCCTCCCAGTAGTAAAAACACACAAACTTGTTAAAGTGCAGTGCTAAAGTTCCCCCCTCTCATTCACATCGCATCCCATGCCATATTATACCGTGAAGAAGTCCATTAATGTTTTGTTGAACAAGCGTCATTAACTTGTATCAACGCCTTTTTACAAACCTTGCATTGTTGTGCAGGGCCAGTCTGCGGCCCATCTTGGCCAATACAGTGGATGATTTGCCCCTTTATTAGTTACCAGGCAACAGATCCTGAATACCAAAACTCAAAGGAAACGCTCTGGTCCTCCATATAGATCTCAATGGCGATGGGGGAAAATGAACAATGATCCTGTGGACAACATAATGCCACGCAATGACTTTTCATTAACAATTATCTGGTTGATGTGAATAGCAGCTGCAGTGGCTACTCTCCGTCTCATGGTTTGCAGAGAAAAGGGGAGCGAGGGAGAGAAAGAGGGCTTGCCAGTGAATAGCATCCTGCAGGAGTTTAGGGGGTTCATAGACTCCATGAATGTGGAATCTAATTTATATCTCAGTGAATAATTAGGTTTCTATGCAAAAATGAGTTGGAAATAATTACATTTTAAAACGCCGTGACAACTTAGCCTGATAAACAAAGGAAAGCAGTCCCTTTTAATGTGGCACACTAGGAGTTTATGAGCTTTTTCAGTTTGCCGGTTGAGATCAATAAGCTAACGTTTACAGTTTGGTGCAAAAAATGAATCAGGAAACAACTTCTCTTTCATTATAGGACTGGTGTGTCGCAGCTCTGTCCTTAAAAAATGTCCACAAACTGTTTCTGTGATTGGGAACAGACAACGCTGTTAGGGACTGCAGCCCTCAGTCCTATAGAAAAGTAAAGTGACAGGCTCAGTGTAAGAAGAGGCTGCTGAACAAAGCCAGCGAGGGCCCTGTTGATGGCCTATAGAGATGTCCTGCACCAGGCTCCCTCTAATTAGGGAGACGCTTCTCAGTCTCACAGAGCTGCTCAGACCAGACACTCCAGACTGAAGTGTGCCCCTGCGCCAACGAGTGTGTCTGGATGTCCACACTCAACGCAGCATGTGTATGCGTCTGCGCTTTATGGCCACACACAATTAACGAGCCTCGAAAATGAGATAAACACCGACTGATAGTGACGCCGATCACGGTTAAGCTCCCGGGAGAAATGTCTTTATCAAAGCTTATTGTTCGAGCCCTGATTTGTCCCTCGGCCTCCTCTGTTGTTTCCAAAAGACTAAGCAAATGCCATTACAGAGGCAGCACAGAACAGCCCTTATTTCAATCTTTTCTTGCTTGAGTTGTCAAATAGTCCTGAGATTATTCCATCGTTTTTGTCATTGGAAGCTATTCCATTGTTGGTCACTTTGTAGTGCATGTTCTCCCCGCAGGAGTTATCAGCTGTAAGGACTCATTACTGTGCTCCTCACTGATTCCCAAGAAGATCAAGATGCTGCTTTATCCTTGTTAATGATTGGCCTTTTACAAGAACTGTTTGGGTTCAGAATGACGCTCTACACAAAAAGAACATTTCTACCACGGACATTTTATTTTTTAGCTCACAAAGTTGACAAATTAAAAACATTTACAGTTATAGATGGAAACCAATCACCTCCTTCCTGAACAACCTCAACCAAACCTGAAAGGTTCTCACCCCTCCTCTGCTCACGACAGAGAGATCCTGACTTCCCGCGAAACCTAAATCAGGAAATGTTTCCAAGAGTGAATGACAGGAGTCCCTCCACCCAGTTACCCCGACCAGTCTCTCCCTCAGTCTAAAGGAGGTGATATTGTAGCCCCTTTTTTCTCCCTTTGAAAGGGGAAATCCGCGGGATTGAGCTTGTGTGCTGGAGCGGAAGCAGACTGGAATGTGTGTCCGGGCCACGTCTTTTGTCGCCGGCCGGGGCCATGAATAGACATGGGCCACAATCTCTCTGTCCTCTGTTTATCAGACTGTGAAGAAGCAAACAAACCAAAATGTTTCATCCGCATGTTACAAGCACCTTATACCTGTCAATCACCGTTTTTCCCCCACTGTCTGATAGGATGTTTGAACTTTGTCTGTAAGAGTAACACCTGAAAATAAACCCTTAATCCAAAACAGCACATAGGAAACAAACATGAAGCTTTTTAGTTTTATAGCATCCTCTTTGCTGTTCTCCACAATCAATGCAAAATGTAGCCAATGAGGACAGTTGAAGGCTTTCATGAGTCCACACTGCTTAAACAGGGACTTTTATTTTTAAATAAATAATATTTCAGATTTATTTTTCTGTGTGTACTCTCTTCAGATTTAATATTGATTAGGAAAAGTGTCATGTTGAGTAGAGCTTGTCATTATGTTGATTTTCACTGTTGCCTGTGAGTGTCTCTCGGGCAGCTTTAAGGTCAAATAGAGGCTTTCAAGCTAATAGGAAAAGCTTACATGTTCCTTAATTGAGATGATGCCCACACATTTTTTCTATCTATTATTATGGATGTAGTGTTCCTCTAATGTGATTTATTGCAAGATGTTCACAAGTTTAAAGGAAGGTACAGAGTGAGCTGTCAGGATCCAGCCGCACTCTCAGACTTGGAGGCTTATTTTGCTCATTTGGACAAT